GCGACCGACAATGCGGGTCGGGAGCTTTTTGACAGCGTTTTACCTTTTTTCCATTTTTTGAGGTCATTCTTTCCAGGCATGCCTAGAAAAATGTAAGGATCGTGTTTACAAAATTTTAGAATTTTTTGACGTCATTTTTATTTTATTTTATTTTTTGAAGACGAAAAATAGAGAAAATCATAAAAAATAGAATTTTGATCAAATAATGGTGCCGCTTGTTGCATTAATTTCTAAAAATTGTGTACTAATTTTAGATGCAAAACATAAATAAAAATGTAAATTTTTGACCCATCCCGGACCCTGGGTGCCTCACTACGCGGACCGGGGACTTTTATACAACGTTTTTTCTTTTTTGAGGCCTTTTTTTGCAGGCATGCTCAGAAAAATGTAAGGATCGTGTCTGCAAAATTTCTTAATTTTTTTACTTCATTTTTATTTTATTTTATTTTTCAAATACGGAAAAGAAAGAACATCGTAAAAAATAAAATATACATCAAAAAATGGTGTCACTTGGTGCATTAATTCCTAAAATTCGTATATTCATTTTAGAATGCAAAACATAAATTAAAATCTAAATTGTTGACCCATTCCGGCCCCTAGGCACCCCAGTCTGCAGACTGGGGGCTTTTTGATAGTGTTTTACTTTTTTTTTATAATTGTTTCAGCCATTTTTTGCAGGCATGACTATAAAAATATAAGGATCGTGTCTGCAAAAGTTCATAATTTTTTAACGTCATTTTTATTTTATTTTATTTTTTAAATAAGAAAAATAAAGAAAATCATAAAAAATAGAATATTCATAAAAAATGGTGTCTCTTGAATCTTGATGCATTAATTCCTAAAAATTATAAATTAATTTTAGAACGCAAAACATAAATAAAAATGTAAATTTTTTAATCATTCCGGCTCCTGGGTGCAACACTACGTGGGCCAGGTGCTTTTTGACAGCGTTTTACTTTTTTTATAATTTTTTGAGAACTTTTTTTGCAAGCATGCCCAGAAAATGTACGGATCGTGTTAGCAAAATTTCATAATTTTGTGACGTCATTTTTATTTTATTTTATTTTTCAAAGACGAAAAATAAAGAAAATTATAAAAAAATAGAATGTTCATCAAAAATTGGTGCTGCTTGTTGCAATAATTCCTAAAAATTGTATATTAATTTTAGAAAGCAAAACATAAATAAAAATGTAAAGTTTTGACCTATCTCGGCCCCTGCGCGCCCCACTACGCAGGTCGGGGGCTTTTTGACAGCGTTTTACTTTTTTTTTTGTCATTTTTTTATTCTATTTTCTACAGGCATGCCTAGAAAAATGTAAGGATCGTGTCTGCAAAATTTCATAATTTTTTGATGTCATTTTTATTTTATTTTGCAAAGACAGAAAATAATGAAAATCATAAAAAAAATAGAATATTCATCAACAAATGGTGCTACTTATTGTATTAATTCCTAAAAATTGTATATTAATTTTTGAATGCAAAACATAAATAAAAATGTAAATTTTTGACCCATCTCGGCCCCTGGGTGCCCCACTATGCCAACCCGGAGCTTTTTAACAGCGTTTTACTTTTTTGTCATTTTTGCAGGCTTGCCCAGAAAAATGTAGGGATCGTGTTTGTAAAATTTCATAATTTTGTGACGTCATTTTTATTTTATTTTATTTTTTAAAGACGAAAAATAATGAAAGTAATAAAAAATATAATATTCATCAAGAAATGGTGCCACTTGTTGCATTAATTCCTAAAAATCGTATATTAATTTTAGAATGTAAAACATAAATAAAAATCTAAATTTTTGACCCATCCTGGCCCCTAGACGCCCCACTACGCAGGTCGGGGGCTTTTATACATCGTTTTTCTTTTTTTTTTTTTTCATTTTTGACGACTTTTTATTTTGCATGCTGCCCAGAAAATTGTAAGGATCGAGTCTACAAAATTTCACAATTTTTTGACGTCTTTTTATTTTATTTTATTTTTCAAAGATGAAAAAATAAACAAAATCATAAAAAATAGAATATTCATCAAAACATAGTGCCGCTTGTTGCATTAATTCTTAAAAATCGTATATTAATTTTCGAATACAAAATATAAATAAAAATGTAAATTTTTTACCCATTCCGGCCCCTGGGCGGCCCACTACGTGGGCCGGGGGCTTTTTGGCATTGTTTTACTTTTTTTGTCATTTTTTGCGGGCATGCGTAGAAAAATGTAAGGATCGTGCCTGCAAAATTTCATAATTCTGTGACGTCATTTTTAGTTTATTTTATTTTTCAAAGATGAAAAATCAAGAAAATCATAAAAAAGTAAAGTATTCATCAAAAAATGGTGTCGCTTGTTGCATTAATTGCTAAAAATCATGTATTAATTTTAGAATGCAAAATATAAATAAAAAATTTAAATTTTTGACTTATTCCGGCCCTTGGGCGCCCCACTACGCGGGCCATGGGGCTTTTTGACATCATTTTACTTTTCTGTCATTTTTTGAGGCCATTTTTTTCAGGCATGCCCAGAAAAATGTAGGGACTGTGTCTGCAAAAGTTTAGAATTTTTTGACGTCATTTTTATTTTATTTTAGTTTTTGAAGATGAAAAATTAATAAAATCATAAAAAATAGAATATTCATCGAATAATGGTGCCGCTTGTTGCATTAATTCCTAAAAATTTTGTACTAATTTGAGAATACAAAATATAAATAAAAATGTAAATTTTTTACCCATCCCGGCCCCTGGGCGCCCCACTACGCGGGCCAGGGGCTTTTATACATCGTTTTTTTTTTTTTTTTTTTTTCATTTTGAGGCCTTTTTTTTGCAGGCATGCCCAGAAAAAATGTACGTATCGAACCTGTAAAATTTCAAGAAAATGTCTCAACTCCATTTACCTCATGGGTATCGGAAATATTTTAATGCAAAAGGGTTTTCACTCATGTAGTTGAAAATCAATTAGTCAACGCTCAAATGAGATACGACAATTTAAGGACAAGCTAATAAATAAATATTGATCAAATGATAGATAAAATCAAATATCTAAAACATTTTATCACCCAAACCATAAACAAACTTTTGAGATTTCATTATGGTTTTCCCGCCTTTCGGTTTAGTTTGTGTGTCCCATTTGAGTGTAGATTAGTGCATGTACTTTTTTTATTTCTCATATTATTTACCTTTCAACTATATATATACACACATACGTATGTGTATATATATATATATATATATATGTTGTAAGGTGAAATGCTAAATCTTAAATAAGACCCTAAATGGGGCCTGCAGACCATAAAGAAGAGCATTAAATGGTTAAGAACTACTCAGGCCTAAAAGCCACGTCAGCAAACAGTTTCCTAGGAGGCAACCGCTATGAGGAGACATCTGATATGAGTAGGAGATCGACCGTTGTAAGAAGAGGACATGAGGTTGACTGCAATCACGGGCATTAACGAAGAAAGTAAGGGAATTGTTGGTACAGGAGACTAGGCTACGTAAAGGTAAAGATCTGAAGGATTTCTTCCGAGATTTACTATTTATAATCTAAAAATATGAAATTCAAATAAGAATTTTCCTGATTGATTGTGATCTCTATCTTTTGAAAAACTATTCCAAAAAACTAAGGAAAATATCCCTAAATTTGAATAGGGAAACAAGCAGGGGCGGTGACTTAAGGTATAAATAAGAGATTATATGTCAAAAAATCTTTAAGTCTCATTCTGAGCGTTAGTGCGTGTAATTCCTACAAAGATAGTGAGATTTCTCTCATCCCCGCAGTGGATATAGCTCTCAAATCGAGGGTGAACCACTATAAATTCTATGTGTTCTTATTTAAATTCGCTTATAATTGTGTTTTATCTCATTTAATTTGTGCAAACTGTCTAGAAATTTGCTATTATTCTGTTAACGAATTTTCACCGTCAACAATTGGCGATTCCACTGGGAACCGAACCTAGAATCTCTGGTTTGCGTTAAGAATTTTAATGAGAAAAACGATCTGAAGCCATGCCTCGAAGAAGAACAATAAGCAACGATGCGAATCAAGGCAGCCAAATTGATGATAACACCATGAATCAAGCCAAATCAGGCTAATGGAGGAAGGGGTGCGAATCAACCTAATCTGGAGAATTAACCTGTAGTTGGGAATGAAGAAGTTCCAGCCCCAAACGCGCCTCAGCCAAACCCAATGTAGATGCAAGCACAATTGAATTCCTTGACGGATATGGTCCAACACTTGGTGGCCACCATAGAACAAATTGATGGGAGAAATTTAAGGCCTCCTTCTGGAGACACTCCACTGAGACCACAAAATGCAGCCGCTGATGGAAACTAGAATAATGATGACCAGCGTGGTACCTTGGATGGGATTGGAGAGAGCAACTGTTTACTAAAGAACCCAACGTTTCTTTTTCTTCTCCAAAATCTCTCTTCTAATCTCTTCTCTTCCTTTTAATGTACTAGGAAAAAAAAATGAAAATAAACAAATTGACAAACAAAAGCAAAATTCGAGGCCATTAGGTATCTAACTAGTTAAAAAGATGAGAAGTTAATTATTTCAATTTCTATATATGGACCAATTCGGTATTGCTATAGCTTTTAAAATAATTGTTCTCTGCGGTGTTTGGTTAAAATGCAATTGTAGTGAGAAACAATTGATTGTTTGTTAAGCTGTAATATTAGAAGTGTTGTAACCTTCAAAAGTAACGATTATGTATATGGTAAAAATGACTAAATTAAATATGAAGACAAATTATCTTATGATTACATTACTTAAATCGAGTAAAATTATTTTTTCCTACATTTTTTTATATAATAAATTTGTATAGTTTTTTTTTTTCTTTACTATTATAGCTAATTATTTCAACGATCATTATATTTTGTGTTTTTTAGGAGCTTCTCTGTTAGGTTCTAAGAAGATAAACCATTACTAATTCTCTCTTCAGCTGTTATGTATAACAAATAGTTGCTGAAACAATGTTAATTTTTTTTTTTCTTTTCTGAAATTGTATCTTTACCTAGCACCCTTTCAATACGAAATTGTACAATAATTACTTGTATCTCAAACTCACCTAATTTATGTGTACTGTCCGTAAAGCACCAATATGTTTGGTCTTTAAAACTAGTAAGTAATGATCAACATGGATTGACTGTTAGGTACCTGATTAATAACCTATATAACCCTCTCTTTATATATGAAATCGCATTAGCTTACTAATTATTTCATCCCAATACACACAAATAAGTCAAGTCTCTCATTCTGGGAGGTACGACGTTGTCTTGCACCTAAAAGGCAAAAAAACCATGGCTGAGGCGTACCAGTACTCTAGGGTCTCACTGCTAAACGGATCACCTGAGAATGATCTCTCACTTGAACATGCTCGAATCTCGGACTTGTCGTCCCGCCAAATCGAGGATGTTTTTGAGAGCAAGCCCCTGGCCGTCCGATTGTGGTTTACGGTTGCCACGTGGGAGTCAAGGCTCCTTTGGATACTCTCTTGGGCTTCCATTGTGGTCTCTGAGTTCAATTACATGCTCACCTTCGTCACCCTCATGTTCTGCGGCCACCTCAGCGCCTTGGAGCTCGCCGGCGCCTCCATCGCTAGCGTTGGAATCCAAGGTCTTGCCTATGGTATAATGGTGGGTTACTGCCTATTCCGTCTTGCTTGGTAACATATATTTATGTGCTTTAACATTTTTTTTTTTCCCTATAACTGGTATAGAAAATTATAGGGTAGGTATTAAAAAATAACTTACTGGTGGGATTATTTAAAACCATCCGATTTGTATCAAATCTATTAGTTTTGTGATTTTTTTATTTTATTTTGATATAATGACACATCTAACAGTTAGAAATTTGCCCCACCGATAGAAAATGCATACTTTTTTTTGTCTATGGTCATTTTTTTTTTTAAAGGAAGTTGCTAACTTGTCTTTTCTTTTTCCTTTGTGTTCTTTGAAAACACATTAGATTGGTATGGCGAGCGCGGTGCAGACTGTGTGCGGGCAAGCCTACGGAGCCAAACAGTACGCTGCAATGGGGATCATATGCCAGCGAGCGATCATCTTGCATTTGGGCGCCGCAATTCTTCTCACATTCCTTTACTGGTTCGCGGGACCCATTCTTATTGCTATAGGCCAATCAGAGGCGATATCAGAGCAGGGCCAGATCTTCGCTAGGACGTTGATACTTCAGATATACGCCTTTGCTCTGAGCTGTCCCATGCAGAGATTTCTTCAGGCCCAGAATATTGTTAACCCACTTGCCTACATGTCCGTTGGGGTTTTCCTGCTCCACATTCTGCTCACTTGGGTTGTCGTTGATGTTCTTGGGCTTGGGCTTATTGGGGCCGGGCTCACCCTCTCCTTCTCATGGTGGCTTCTGGTCATCACCAATGGGCTTTACATTCTCTTCAGCCCAAAGTGTAAGGAGACTTGGACTGGCTTCTCTTCGAAAGCCTTCACCGGTATTTGGCCTTACTTCAAGCTCACCATTTCCTCTGCTGTCATGTTGTGGTATGTTTATAAATTTGACTATGAAAAAGTTGGGTGAATTAGAGCAACACCAACTTTCATAGGGAGTTGGTACTCGAATAACTACGTCTATATAATGCTTTGTGTCTAATTTACATATAAAAGTGGTGTTCGACTATTCGTAAATAACTAGACATCAAGATCAATTAGAGGAATATTACTTTTCGAATATGTCCTTTACGTGAAAATATTATAATCTAATTTACACATAAAAATAGTACGTGCGAAAAACTAGACTTTAAAAATGACATTTAGCCTAATTCACACGTATTCGTCATAAGTGCTACTGGGCGTAATTTATACAAAAAATTGTTATGGTTACGCATAGGGGTTCAAAATATACGTATAAGTGTTTTTTTTTTTTTTTTTTTTTTTAAATATTTAACAAATGAGAATGATTTGATGGTATGAATTGTGCAGCTTGGAGGTATGGTATAATCAAGGACTAGTGCTCATATCAGGACTGCTTCCAAATCCTACAATCGCCTTAGACTCCATCTCTATTTGGTATGTACCCATGTTCAAGACTCACTTATATATCTTCTCTCTCATTTTGTATTTCCCAAAGTTTTCTAAGCAAAGTTAACAACTTCTAGTCTGGTCTGGTAAAAATACAGCATGAACTACTTGAACTGGGACATGTGTTTCATGTTGGGCCTAAGCGCAGCGGCCAGGTTAGTGGTAAATTATAATCCATTGAAGAATCTAAAATCTTAAATTATCTCCGTAATATGTCTTTGAGTTTTTTTTTTTTTTTTTTTTTTTTTTTTTTTTTTTTTTTTCTTATATAAACGATCAAAGGAGACATTGATATTATCAGTTATTATCATGTTTAATTAAGTTGACTCGTCTGAATTGAAAGAAAAAAAAAAAGACAAAACTAATAAGATAAATATTTGGTGATTGCAGTGTCCGTATCAGTAATGAGCTAGGAGCAGGCCATCCAAAGGTAGCAAAATTTTCAGTCTTGGTAGTAAATGGTAACAGCATCTTCATCAGTACAATCTTCAGCGCGATCGTCTTAATTTTTCGGATCGGATTAAGCAAGCTCTTTACAAGTGATCTAGAAATTATAGATGCAGTGTCCAATTTGACACCATTGCTAGCCATGTCTGTTTTCTTGAACGGAATTCAACCTATACTCTCAGGTGACAACTAATTAGTAATTTCACTAGTACCGTAATCCATAATTAGAAGTAAATAAACAGAAATTGCAAATATGTTGGCCTCTTTTTTAACTCATATATTAACTTTTTCTTGTGGCTTTTTTTTTTTTTCCAGGTGTGGCCATTGGAAGTGGATGGCAATCTGTAGTGGCATATGTTAATCTGACAGCTTATTATGTTATTGGTCTCCCTATTGGATGTGTTCTTGGTTTCAAAACTAGTCTTGGAGTAGCTGTAAGTTGGACTTTTTTCTTTTTTTTTTTTTTTCCTGAATAAAAGTCTTTATTGAAAGCCAAAAATGGTTAGGGCATGGTGGCTACAGAAAGCGCTACTTCCTCAAGATCAAAGCACCCCGAAGAACCCGACATCAAGACCCATTTAGCGATTCTATCAGCACAAGTGTTTTCAGTCTTACGGATACAACAAAAGGAAATATTAGAATTCTTGTTTTGGACCCTTAAACAAAAGTTGGATTCTCAATAGACTCGTCGGTAAAAGTAAAAGTTGTGAAAGATGGTAATATCTGATTTTATTTTATTTAATGTTATTTTTGGCAACTTTCAGGGGATTTGGTGGGGAATGGTTACTGGAGTTTTTTTACAAACCGTAACTCTGATTATTCTCACTGCTAGAACAAACTGGGATGTTGAGGTAATTTGAAAAGTAGTTTAAAGGACCATATATCACAAAATTATGGATTACTTTTACATGTGCTCCTCAACTTTAACATCACTTATTTTCTTTTAAAAAAAAAAAAAAAGAAACTTAGGATCATTCTCATTTTGTCTTTAAATTTTAAAAACTCTTATTTTATACATTGAATTTTGAATTAGTCCTATTTAACCCATTATGCTAGAATTTTTGTTTAAAACAGAAAGAATGAAATTAGTCTCACCTAAGCTCTTTTAGTGGAATATATGTTGAACAAATAGAAAATATCACTCATATATATCACGATAGGATTAAGACCCCACTACTCACATAAGGTAGGCTGGCTAAGTGGGTAAATGAGACTTAACCTAATAACACCCACCATTTTATAAATAATGGGGTTTTATCCCCATCTTGAAAATCATTTTTTAATAAAAAAAATACTACATGAGCTTACTTAACTCTTCTCATATTCCGTTGCTTTTTAACTAAATTTCTAATAAAAAGGATTGAATGAGATTTATTCAAATTTAAAGGATAAAATGAGAGGTTTTAAAATCCAGTGACAAATATGAAATTGATACTAAAATTAAAAAAGTTGTAATATATTGTAATGCATTTAATTTGCAGGTTATGAAAGCTGCTGATCGAGTTAAAAGGTCTTCAAACGAAGCCACCTTAGATTTGGTGACCGGCGTATAGGAAACTAGATATTGGTGATCACACATCTCCTCCATACGAACCGGTCAATGTTGCCCTCCGTTTTTTTTATTAAAAAAAAAAAAAAACAAGAAAGAAAGAAAGAAAGAAGTCGGGGTTGCACAATTTGCATAATTTCATAAAATTATTTCTCGCTTTGGCCTTTTCACTTTTTTTTTTTCTTTTATGTAATCACTAATCCCTGTTTTTACAATTTTGAGGCCAATGAAGCATTTCATGCTCAGTGAAGAGCTGGAAAAGTTGTACTGGGAAAAGGAAACAACTTGAATCAACTGTTTTCTTTTTTTTTTTCTTTAATTTTTGGGGTCAATGCATGGAAATGAAATGAGTATACCTCAATTAAAGCCACCTCATTGGTGAGATCAACTTATTAAACTTGGTCCGCTGAAGACCGTTTGATCTACTGGCATTAGTGGGTTTAAGTGGGGTAGGGTTTTATAAGGAGATTGCAAATTTAATCCCGTCTTATATTGAAAGTGAGTTAACATTTCCATTAATCATATTCAAATGGTGTTATTAGCAAAATATGTCTTTTTTTCTTGGAGTTCTTGCTTAGACAACTTTGTTGTAATGCGAAGAAAGAAGAATGTTCCTCCACGTATTTGCTAGAAAAACATATTACAGATTGTAAACATCATCACTCACCTTTAACGGATTAGAGAATGAATTGTAAGAAAATTATGAAAATTAGAGAATGAATTGCATGAAAAATGTGCAAGTCTTGATCCCAATAGTCCTTCAATAAAAAAACAAAAAACAAAAAAACAAAACAAAACAAAAATGATCTCAATAGTCCACATCAATCAGTTAGATAACTATCTATTCTGATTTTTACCACAATCCTATCCTTCCTCATTACGTTGTTGAACGTAATTAAAGGAAAAAAAAAATCAAGAAACAGCTCCAAGAAAACGAAACAAGAAATACAATTCTTCTCCCAAAGATTGACTGTATATACGTTTTTATGTCTTTAAACAACAACCGTAATTTAGTCCAAACAACTCAAATGGAGTCATTGTCCCACGCAAGGTCATGTCGCATTGTAAAAACTTTTAACAAAGTCGCCGATCTCTAAAACCAAAATCTGTTTTCTAGGGAGAAAATCATTAATTTGACCCCTTTCCTTTCTAAGAATTGTTGGCAAGATTAATCTTTGAAATATGAGCATTGTGTCACTTTGGAATCTGAATTTTGCTTCTTAATAAGTTACTTCATGAATTTTGATTTTTTTTCAGTTTTAGTCTTTAACGATAAAATTAATGAAGGATTTCGAAATTTTTTTACAGATAATCACATTTCTATTGCATCATAAAAAAAGTAGGTTTTTCAAGTTGTGGATTAGTGAAATTTCTAATTACTTTGTTGTCCAGCCTAAAAATACCATTGGTTCTCTAATTGTGTTTATCATCTAATTATAAATATAATTTGGTTTATTCAATATCTAATATATCAAATGAGTTTGAGATCTCATTTACCCAAGTCTCAAAGTATCTCATGAGAATATTATTTCCCTTCATGATTAAGTTGTGAATTCCATGTCTATGGTTAATGTTCCAAACTATACGCAATATTGTGGCTCCAACATGTCAAATTTTTTATTACCAATTAGTCACGCTCATTAACAAATTAAAAGACATAATTAATAGATGAGAGTTCATTAATCATTCAAAATTAAGACTAATCCATAAATGATCATCATAAACTGAATTTAATTCTTTTCACACAATGACTTAGAGATATGAATTCTATAATTTTACAGATTGAATGTATTCCATATTTATAGGTGTCTCTATTTTGCATTCAGCACTACGATAAAATTATTCCATTCTTGAAGGAAATAGATCAGCAACACACTGACACTGATATACCAAAGTGTCAACCTTTACTTGCCTGTTTATATTATATATGCTTTTAGAGCATCTATCCTAACAAGAGTAGATTTGCCATTACCATCACCATCACATCACAAAAAAGATTTTTAAATTAATTCAAATTGATACAGAAACAAAACTAAAAATAATAATAATAACAAAAAAATCCTAAATCATAAAATCCTAACCTAGAAGTTTCTTACAATAAAACCACGACTTTAACGATGAGGTTTAGAAGCGGATGACGAAAAAAAAAAAATACTGCGAATAAAAAAATGTCCCGATTGATAATGCTTCAGTGCACAATGAGGAAGTTGGAGAACGCAGTAGAGAAAAAAGATTGTGAACTTCTCCTGCATGATAGCATTTCACAGAGGAGCCCCGACCAAATTCAAAAATAGGTGAAATGAAAATTCGTGTGGTATGTAAGTATTGTAAACAACACTTTTCTAATAAAAAGAGTGAGGATATTGGTCATCTGGATAAACATTAGAAATTATTTCTACCGTTGCACCAAAGTGGGAGTATGGACTCCTGCCAACAAACACTATCACTCACATCACAAGGCTTGTAAGATTTTACATACAATGAACAACATGCTTGTGAGGCACTAGCTAAATTTCTAGCTAGTACCGAATTACCTCTTTCTTTTGCAGATGATGCGTCATTCAAAAAATTCATACAGACAGCCTTCTGCCTGCAATTTAAACGGGTAAGTAGAAACACAACTCGTTCTAATTGAATGAAAGTGTTTTATGCAATGAGAAAATCTCTTGTTGATAATTTTAGGACATTTAATGCTATTGTATCTTGTACTTCTGATCTATGGGAGATGTGCAATAAAACTGGATATTTATGCGCCACGACGCATTATGTTGATGATGAATGGGTTTTATAAAAAAGAATAATAGATTTTCGTTCATGTCCATATCCTCATAACGCATCAGTTATTTTTGGTACAATAATGGAAATTTTTGGGTTTTATAGGATAGAAGATAAAGTTTTAACATGTTTAAACATAATTTGAAACCAATGTTTGGGGAAAAAATTTTCCTCAACGGTGTGTGTGTCACATAATCAATTTAGTAGTTCAGGCAGAAATTGAACATATTTCAGCTATTCTAACAAATATTAGAGAATCTATATCCTTCATATCTAGTTCTGGAGTTTGGCTCCAAAAATTCAAACAATATTGCAGGAACAGTCAGATGCGCCCAAGAAAGTTTCCAACTGACGTGAGACATAGGTATAATTCCACCTATTTAATGTTGAAGGCTGCACTCTCATATTCACAGTTTATCACAACGTATGTAAACAGTAAGAACGATCAACTTTTAATTTTCGATACAGATTGACAGATTGGTGAGTCTTTTTTTAAATTTCTAGAAGTTTTGTACAATGCTACTGACTTACTTTCCGGAGTTTATTATCCTACTGCACATTTAGCTTTACATCAACTATTTAATATTTCAGAAATATTTTCTTATTGGCTACAGTACTTTTTGAAAACATAGTTAAGCTAATAGAAACTAAATTTAAAAATTATTAGTCAGGTTGTCCTATATTATATGCATTAACAACTATTTTAGATCCTAGGTGCGAAGTATATGAGACTGAATCTTTGATGACTGCTACAACATAAAATTTAGGTATTGATATGCAACTAACTATTACTGACGCTAAGAAAATGTTAGAAAATGTATTTGGATTGTATGAAGCAAAATACAACGCATGTAAAAAAGAACAAGGAACTTCGACGTCAACTAGCAGTTCGGGGTCTAAAGGCTCATCGTGGAGTTTTTTGAAGAAGAAAGAGAAAACAACAGGATCTTCATCAACACAAGCGTCTACCGAGCTGGTAAAATATTTTGAAGTAAATTTTGTAATCGATGACGACAAACTGGACATCTTACAGTGGTGGAAGAGCAAGACCGACCGTTTTTCAACACTGTCCGTAATAGCTCGTGACATTCTGACAACTCCAGTGTCAACGGTAGCATCGGAGCAAGCATTTAGTGCAAGCAACCGAATTCTTGACGAGAAGAGAAGCAGAATGCATCTAGATATCTTGGAGTGGCTAATATGCGTTAAAGACTGAGAAGATGTCAGAAGACAAAAATAACAATACACAGATGATTCAATGCAAGACTATTTTTCTAACTTAGAAATAACAGAATCTTCTAGAAGCACTTAGGTTTTGTAATTTACTATTTCAATAATACTGCACTCTTTTTTCCTTCGCTAAGGTTTTATTCCGATCTTTCCACAGGTTTTACTTGGCAAGATTTTTATCGAGGTAGTCATTTATGTGTACTTATTCGTATTATTTGAATTTAATAAAATCACATCTTTTGGGGGCATGTGATATATTTTCTTTTTTTAATTAAATTTTGCAAGAAAATTACTAGGGCCGGGGCCGGCCCGTGAAGGGTCTGGGCCCAAGCCAAGCCCTGGCCCTTATGGACTAGGGCTGCGGGCCTGGACCAGGTTTGACCGTTTCTCCTCAGGCCTGACCCTGGCACGGCCCTGCACTATGTAGGGTTGTGCCAGGCACGGCCCAAGCCCGCCACGGGTCTGGGGTCGGACGTTTCGTGCTGGCTCGGGATGAAACATTTGATAACACTAGACAAAGCCAACAATCGTAGGGATAAAGACACACAAGGGCGTTATACGAAAAGGGCGAGGGGGTGGTAGTAAGGGAAATGGAGTGAAGGAGAGAAAAAAAAATAGGGAGAAACTTCCGGGTCTAATGGGTTAAATAACCATATCATACAGTGACACGATAGTAAAATATTCTCCTTATAATAGTGTTAGTATCACTTTTTCTATTAATTTTCTTATTACTCTCTGCATTCACAGTTTGATAAGAGGACTTCATATCTTATTTTTTATGTAAAAAATAATATATCATATTAATGGAGTTCACATGTCAAACAGTTAATACAGAGAGTGACAAAAAAAATGATGTTAACATTTCTCTTATCATTAATATCTCAAATTTGTTGCAAAAAGGTACCCAAAACTATGCCTTAAATAATTGTCCATTCTAAAAGTAAATTCGAAATTGAAAAGAAAAGAAAAAAACACGTAAAAACTTAAATGATAAAAAAAAATTGAGAAATTTTAAAAAATGTCATGAAAATATAACATTATTTTATTTCATATATTAATTTTAAATTTATCATTTATGTCATTAATATTCTGATAAAATTTTTTTCATATTCTATAAGAAATTTTTTTTTCCTGATAGGATATTCTACATAA